TGAGCTGTCAGCACAGAACCCGATATAGGGCTCAAACTCACAAACCATGAGATCATGACAAACCATAAGTCAGACCCTAACCAATGGAGCCACCCAGGCGCCCCTTACACTTTCTTTAAGTAAAAATGATTTATGTTTTTAAAAATGAAATTGCTCTGGCATTGGGACTTGACTGCTTCCTGATCTATAGGGTTTAGATGCCACCACATTACTAATTCCCCAGTGTTCTTGAGGCATGTGTCATATGTATCCTCCTCTGCTGGAAGTCCTTGTGGCAACCTCAGGGACTTGATTCTTATCAAATGTTTAACCACTTTCAGTTTTGCATTACCTGAAGGGCTAGTGTTATGAACTTGAGGAATATGTGCTTTTTCTAACCCAAGCATCTTTAGTATATCTTTTTCCCAATATGGACATCTTTTTCTACTTTTTAGTCTGGTAACAATATGCAGCTTATGAGGGTGCTATAGATTCCCGCCGTATTTTTCATTATCTGAAGGTGAAGGCTGAAACACTTTATCTGGAGTTCTTGACTTGGTACATGTGTGACAAATCCAGTCTGTACAAATGAGAGACTCCACACCCTTCGTCACAGTTTGTAGTTTGTCTGAGGGCCTCTGAACTATTGAGCTCAAAATCCCTGCCATGAGTGTGATGACTGCTCTCCTCAGAGATATGAGAAATAGGGGACAGATCTGTGGGGCAAATGTGTCTTGGAAATGGAGACGACCCCACCTCTGTAGTTAAAAAACGAAGGGAAGCAGAGCAGAGGACAGACCACCAAGTGCAACACTCCACAATTACAAACTCTAAATTAAAAAAAAAAATGCTGATTTCACATTCAGTGTGATGTCTTTCAATTGTCGGTAATAGCCCTGTGTAATGAGTAAGAGGACAAAAGGAGAGAAATTAAAGCCAGATTGAAATGTCTGCCTTTCTTTTCCTGGGGATTCCATTTAATTAACTTGACCAGAGCCAAAGAAATATTTTAGTCATTGCTGTCTGAGCCAAAAGTTTTTATTTTACTTTCATACCAAAATCTATCTTTGTTACCATCTAAGCCAATTTGATAGCAGGAGTCACAAGAATGACCCAGACTTTTTTTAGAAGTAATTCAGAGGGGAAACAGTGACTCTGTTTCTGTGGGCTCCCCCAAAACCAAAATACCAATCGGTACTTCTGCCTATAATCTGCTTTTTTCCAAACACCATTGCTCTGTTATGTAGAAGCAAATAGAGGTGAAGGGACAGACTGACCTACAAACAGCCTGTTGGGCACACAAACTGCTCTGGCTAATTCTCATGCTAACATGTTCTGTAGCAGCCTCAATTCTAAGGGACACTACCTAAAAACCCCAAAGCACAAAACTTTGGTTCACAAGGTCCCGTGGTTTAAAGTTTTATTTCTGGTTTTCAGATATTTTGAATTGCTGCATAGTTTTGTAAATTAGATGTCAGAGTAGTTTCTGCAGATTGACTGTTTGAAAATCATTAAAGACAAGACCCAGAGAGTTAATGTAAATCTTTTTTATTGTGTAGCTGTACCTTTTGCTACCTCATAAAAACGGGTGTCTGCTTTTCTACTTCCTGGCTTATGTCTATTAGAGTACTACATGCTTCATTTGCTTATCCTCTTTGTGGTACAAACAGCTTGACAATTCTTATCTTGCGGCTGGTGATGTATCGTGTGGATGTATGTTAAGTGATACAGAAATTTTGCCTTTTAGTTTTTGAATAGAAGAATAATAATTAAGATCAGCAGTCCATGTTCTGGAACTCTATGCATATAAGGGCAACATGGGGTGGGGGAGTTGGAAGTTTGCAAAATATTACATAGTAGAATTAAGAAAAAAGATTTTCTTTTCATTTCAGAGATGTTGAAAAATAGTAAAAAGAGGGGCACCTGCGTAGCTCAGTCAGTTGCCATCAAGAGCATCCAGCTCTTGATTGTGGCATAGGTCATAATCCCAGTATTGTGGGATTGAGCCCCGTGTTGGGCTGTGCACTGAGCCAAGATTTTCTCTCTCTCTCTTTCTCTCTTTCTGCCCCTTTCCTCAGCTTGTACTCGCTCGCTCTCTAAAAAAAAAAACAAGAAAACAAAACACAGCATTTTTCTTGGTCTACATTCTACTAATCCAGCAGCACGTGTTCTGTCCAGGTGTCATGTCTTTTGAGTCTCCTTTAATCTAGAACATTTCCTTAGTCATTCTTTGTCTTTCATGACTGACATTTTTTTTTTTCAATGTTTATTTATTTTTGGGACAGAGAGAGACAGAGCATGAACGGGGGAGGGGCAGAGAGAGAGGGAGACACAGAATCGGAAACAGGCTCCAGGCTCTGAGCCATCAGCCCAGAGCCTGACGCGGGGCTCGAACTCACGGACCGCAAGATCGTGACCTGGCTGAAGTCGGACGCTTAACCGACTGCGCCACCCAGGCGCCCCATGACTGACATTTTTAAAGAATGTAACCCATTATTTTGTAGGATTTCCCTCAAATTGGGCTTATTTTATTTTTCCTTTGGCCGGAAATGATGTTGTCATATCAGAAGGCCACAGAGTCTTTTGACATGTTCCTCCAAAACCATCTTTTTAAATAACCAGTTATAATATTATATGGAAAGCAGAGTCAGAGATTCTCAAATTAGTCAAGGCATTATAAATATTCATTATATTCTCCAGTAGTTATTTCCTTAAGAAAATTTGTGGCCTTTCAGCCAGCTTTTACCAAGTGGAAACTGCGAGTAAAATCAGGGTAGAGAGAAGAAAGAGCTAGTGTACAAAAGTATAAAGTTGTTTTATGTAAATCAACATGGGCTCTTGCAGAGATTGGGTTTTTAAACCCGTAGCCAAGAATGATAAATTATTTATTCCTGGAGTACTTCTGCCAAAACACTGAAATCAATATACTATTATTTTTTTAGAAGTTTTACACATTCCAAGGCAAATATTCAAATATATTAAATAGGGAGGTAAGAGAGAACCCTCTTCTACTTGGTAGAAGTAAATAGACATTAAGTTTATTAGTTCAATATTCAGTATTACATTGAAGTCAGGGACAATATTTTTATTATCTTTGTATCTTCTATCTAGAAGAGTGCCATTAAGGAGAAGATTCTTTTTAATTTTTTTTTAGATTTCATTTTTTTTTTCAAATTAAAAAAAAAATTTTTTGACGTTTATTTATTTTTGAGACAGAGAGAGCATGAACGGGGGAGGGTCAGAGAGAGAGAGAGAGAGGGAGACACAGAATCCGAAACAGGCTCCAGGCTCCGCGCTGCCAGCACAGAGCCTGACGCGGGGCTTGAACTCACGAACCACGAGATCATGACCTGAGCCGAAGTCGGATGCTCAACCAACTGAGCCACCCAGGCGCCCCTAGATTTCATTTTTAAGTAATCTCTACACCTAACGTGGGGCTCGCATTTACAATCCCAAGATCAAGATCTACCGACTGAGCCAGATAGGTGCCTCAAGTAGAAAATTCTTTTTTTTTTTAACTTTTTTTTAGTGTTTATTTATTATTGAGAGACAGAGAGAGAGAGAGCATGAGCATGGGAGGGGCAGAGAGAGGAGGAGACACAGAATCCCAAGGAGGCTCCAGGTTCTGAGCTGTCAGCACAGAGCCCGATGTGGGGCTCAAACTCACAAACCACAAGATCATGACCTGAGCCAAAGTCGGATGGTTAACCGACTGAGCCACCCAGGCGCCCCTGAAAATTCTTAATAAATGTCTTCAGTTGACTTTTGTTTGTAGTGTAGAGACTTTAGATTAAGGGTTGAGCCAAATGCTGCTCTTCACCTGTTTCATAAATAAAGTATTATTGAAACACAACCATACCCATTTATTCTATATTGTCTGTGATTTCTTTTGTGCTATGATGGCAGAGTTGCATTGCTGTGACTATATGGCCTCCAAAGCCTAAAGTATTCACTCTCTGGCTCTTTTGCTGACCCTCCTTTTAGATTATGAGCACTTGTGCATTAATTTTTGTTTGTTTGTTTTCCTTCTAGAGCACACAGTAAGATGTTTTACCACACTGTGCATAACTTATGGATTTATGCAAGTGTAACTGCAAGAAAAATTCTTGGAAGTGGATAAGCTGGGTTTGAGAGTGTCTGTGTATTTTAAATCTCGGTAGCTTTGCCTTTTCAGAGGGGTTATACTAGTTTATACTTTAATAATTTTCTGGCAAGCCCTCTTTCCCCATAACTTTGCAACTCAGTGCATTAGCCAGCTTCTTTATCTTTACCAATCTGATAGAGGAAAATGATATTGTAGGTTTGATTTGCATTTCTCTTTTTTGGGTTGGATTGAACTTTTTAAATTTAAAAGCCATCTGTATTTCTTTTTTTTTTTTTTTTTTTTTTTTTTTTTTTTTTTTTTTTTTTTTTTTTTTTTTTTTTTTTTTTTTTTTTTTTTTTTTGTGAATTGTCGTTCACTGTCCTTCCTGGTACCTTTAAGTCTCTTACATTTATAAATGTATAGTGAGCACATGTCAAAGATTTATTTAATACTAATGAGGAAACTAGCTTGGTGACAGATGACTTAGAGGAGGATATGTGAGACAAAATATCAGTGAATGAAATTTTCTTACAAGGAAAAAACAAAATACCCCAACACTACAACTCTAAGTATTATCTTTTCTACTAGATGAAATTCAATTATGTTTTTTGCCAGATGAAAGCAGACGTTTTCAATTTATCAATCTTCTTTAAGTCATTATTCAACTTTACAGAGTCTATGCCCTAATCAATAGAAAATAAAGTCCTTTTCCTCAGGCTTATTTTGATACTCTAGTGTGGGTTTAAAGAGACCTGCTACGGTCTTTTTGCCTTATTTCTAAGTTTTGGATAACTTTTTTGGATGTTTTCCTTTTTCCGTTTTATTGCCTTTCGAGTGATCCTATTTCTTTATGAATTACTGATGAATTTCTAAGAAGCTTATGTAGTTCATCATTGTCTCTCATAAAGCATATTCATTTTTCTTTTTTGCTTTGTAGGAACTCATTATACAATGACAAATGGAGGCAGCATTAACAGTTCTACACACTTGTTGGATCTTTTGGATGAACCAATTCCAGGTGTTGGTACATATGATGATTTCCATACTATTGATTGGGTGCGAGAGAAATGTAAAGACAGAGAAAGGCATAGACGGGTAAGTGTTTTCAGTAATTGTTAATATAGTGCATAACTACATCATTTAATAATACATTTTTGCCAGTGATCTCAAGCTGCCAAAATATATATTATGCATTAAAGTACATTTCGTTAAATTTCTACATTTTATAAGTATTATATATTTTTTCTCTATATATGTAATTAAAAACATTTTTTTAATGGTTATTTTTGACAGAGGGAGAGAGAGACAGAGCATGAGTGAGGGAGGGGCAGAGAGAGAGGGAGACACAGAATCTGAATCAGGCTCCAGGCTCTGAGAAGCTGTCAGCACAGAGCCCGACATGGGGCTCAAACCCACCAACTGTGAGATCATGACCTGAGCTGAAGTTGGATGCTTAACTGACTGAGCCAGACAGGTGCCCCTCTGTATGTTTTTTTTTTTTTTTTTTTTTAATTTACTTCTGGGATCAATCCAGAAAGGATCTGAGGTAGCTTAAAATCAAGGAAGTGCTAGTTATTTATAAGACAAAAAAAAAAAAGACAAAAAAAAGCAAGGGCTGGGAAAATACAGCTTGGTGAGTTGGGGAGGAAGATCTATAGAAGTGAAGTATAATTTTTTCATTTTGCAAAGTACAGCAGTTAAGGAAAAGAGGAACTTGTTACGCTTCTGTGGTGGTTTGGTTGGTTGAGGACCTACTTCGTACTGCTCAGGTCGCGATCTCAACGTCGAAAGTTCGAGCCCTGTTTTGCTTAGGCTCCCGTGCTGACAGCTCGAGCCTGTAGCCTCGCTTCAGATTCTGTGCTCTCTCTCTGCCCCCAACACACTACACAATTGGTTCTGTTCTCTTCTCTTCAAAAGTAAATAAACAAAAAAAAAAAAAGAGGAAATTGTTATATAATTTATTATTAAAATAAAAAGAAGAAACCATGGGAGGAGGATACTTTCATGGATTTGGTTATTTTTATCCCCTTTCGTTTCATCTCCTGAGATTCTTTTCAAATTGAGTCCTGTAAAGGACATATTACATGTGATGAGAGTTAATCAAAAAAATATTATATTGCAATAATAGCTTCCAGTGGTTTTTATAGCAAGTGCATATTTAGTTATATCTTGGGTAAAGAGTTTACAAAATTCTTTAGAAAAACTATTCCAAGGGTGCTCTGGTAACAGTTGGTTAAGCATCTGACTCACCAGGTCATGATCTCACAGTTCATGGTTCAAGTTCACATCAGGCTCTGTGCTGACAGTCGAGCCTTGAGCCTGCTTTGGATTCTGCCCCGCCGTCGTTCTTCCCTTGGCTCTCACACTCCCCCAGTTCCCTTCTTTTCTCCCTTTCTAAAAAATAAATAAACATTAAAAAAAAAAAGAAGTAAACTATTCCATTTTGTGTAACATCAAAAATCAAATAAATAGGGGCACCTGACTGGTTTATCAGAAGAACATGTGACTCTGATCTCGAGTCATGAGTTTACATGTTAGGTATAGAGATTAATTTAAATAAATAAATACACTTAAAAGATTTTTTTATAGAGTAATGGGTGGCTCAATCAGTTTGAGTTTTCAGATCTGGCTTTGCTCAGGTCGATAAACACACGATTCAGGTTCAAACAGGCTCTGTGCTGACAGGTCATATATTTGAAAGTCGCCAGTTCTCCCTCTTCTCTCTGCTCTTCACACTCTGTCTCTCTCTCTCTCAAAATGAGTAAACATTAAAAATAAATTTTTTTAAATACCTAAATTTCTAAATTAGAAAAAATTTGGTAGTTGGTCACTTAAAAAAATTTTTTTTTAATGTTTATTTATTTCTTTGAGACAGAGACAGAGCATGAGGTGGGAGGGCAGAGAGAGAGGGAGACACAGAATCAGAAGCAGGCTCCTGCTCTGAGTCAGCACAGAGCCCTGACTGGGGCTCAACAAATCACAAACCGTGAGATCATGACGGTTTTAAGACGGCCCTCAACCAACTGAGCTTTCACCCAGGTGCCCTCACTGTTTTATTCATTAAACAAAAAAAAACCTTCATGGTGAAAAGAGTGGCATTTACTAAAAAGTGCTTTAGGGACGGTAACTTATTGATAATGTAGTCCAAAATACTAATTTAAAAGAAAATCTCTTTGAAAAGTGCTGAAATTCCAAATTTAAATAGGCCCATTATAACTTTGAGGTCTGAAATTCTGATTGTAAATGAAAATAACTGCTTTGTACAAAATTAGTTATAATCTTTCATGTGCGCTCAATGTATATTTGTATTAAAGTTGAAATTAAAATTAGATTATGTTGTTCATGACAAGTATAACCTCTGAGATTCATCACTATTAATCTTTCTGAAGACCAATACAATCCCAGTGGTGATTTTCAAAGTTTTTCATTCCTGCGAACACATTTATTTTATTATATTATATTTTATTTTATTTATTTTATTTTATTTTATTTTACTTTATTTTATTATTTTATCATCTCAGAACACTATATTTTATTATTCTAATGTTTTTGAGAGGGAAAGAGAGGAGAGGGCACAAATGAGCTTGTAGGAGCAGAGAAAAAGAACTCTCTGCACAGGAGGAGCAGAGGAGAGAGAGAGAGAGAGAGAGAGAGAAAGAAGGGTTTTGCTTGAAGTGGCTCAGGCTCAAGCTACTTGGCTGGGGGGTTGGAATCATGAACTGTGAGATCATGACCTGAGCTGAAGTCAGATGCTTAACAACTGAGCTACCCAGGCATACCTCATCTTGGAACACTGTTAAACTCTAAACTCTAAACACTTACCGAGGATAGTGAAGGAACTTAGTTTATGTTGTTATATTAATTGATATTTACCATGTTAGATACAAAAACTAAGAATTTTTTAAAATGCTAATTTATTTAAAAGTAGCCAAACCCCTATTATACATTAACATCAAAGCTTATATTTCTGAAAACACAACATTTTTATGAAAAACAACTGTATTTTCCAAAATAAAAATATTTAGTGAGGGAGTGACATTATATTTTCATAAGTCTCATTATTGTCTTATTTATTAAAGGCTGCTGGATTCTAATATCTGCTTCTGAATTCAGTCTGTTGTGATGTTATTTGGGTTGAAATATATGAAGAAAGTCCAAACTCATATAGGTAGGTAGTTAGAAAAGCTAGGAGTATTTTAATAACCTTTTTGTATCATTGTGGATATTCTTTGATACTGTACCAAAGTGACAGGTGGTAGTTTCTTAAAGATTAGTTGCCAGTGTAATCTGAAACTATATCAGTGGACCCTTTGTCTTTGTTACATTGAAATCTGTTAGTTCACCTTCAATTCTAATGAATAATTTTGTAACATGTAGTGATCATTTGGAAAATATTCACTGATCTATGCTGTTATTTCTAGTGTTGACACTTTTCAGTTTCACTGTACAATATCAAAAAAAATACATTTGTTAATATCAATCCTGATCTCTTTAGAAAAGTCTTTAAGTATTGGGAATCTGTCATGCTTAGAGTGATAGATAACAAATTTCCCAAAATTCTCATTTTTACTTGAAAGCTCAAATTCTATCATTAGAAACAAATACACTCTTATTTCACTTGAAATGACAGGCTTACTTGGTTTGTTTTTGAGAAAATGCCTGTCAGATTCTCAAGTCTGAAAAACCATTCTTCGGTGTCCTTGTTTCAAGTAAAAATGGTGTTCCATGTGTAGGTGTCAAGTTCATTTTGCAACTCAAATAAGTCACTTAAATGCTTTTCCTCAAGACATAATTTCATACTTCAGTATGTATCAGAAGGCTTTATATATACTTAAGTCATCACACATACTATAAAAAAGACTCAATGATTGAGGCATAATAACTTTTACTACTTCATCAAAGGCATTCTTAAGTGAGACTGGTGTTTACTTACTTTTTTTTTTTTTTTTTTTTTTTTTTTTTTTTTTTTCTTTTTTGCTGGGATACGTGGCAGTGAAGAATGTAATGACTACCAGTACATTTGGATGCCACTGCCTTGATTTGTGCTGAGGAGCAGCTGTTTTGCATTTGCTTTTGCATTATCAGTGAAAATGTCAAAACAGTGAAAAGGGCACATCAGTGTTAATATTATGATGAAAACAGTTTTGACCTTGAAGCCCTCTTGAGAAGGTCTCAGGGACCCTCAGAGTGTCTGTGGCAACATTATAAGATCCAGTGTTTTAATCCAGTGTGCCTAATGCAGGCATACTATAACTCCTGCATCTCATATGATTGTTAGGTAAATCATTTGTACTTAGAATTACATATATTTACAAAGTCATTAACATACTGCAGTTGCAGTTAAAATGTGTTTTAAAGTGAGGTAGTATGAAAGTATCCTGAAGACATCATGTTCATAAGATTTTAAAGCAAATTAAAACTAAAAGAAACCACAATACAGTTTTTTTCCGTCTGATTTTGAAGGTAGTCCATAGTTCTTGAAAACATTTAAAATAACATGACATTTAGAAAATAATATGAAGGGGTGTCTGGGTGGCCCAGTTGGTTAAGCGTCCTACTTTGGCTCAGGTCATGATCTCACAGTTCGTTAGTTCGAGCCCCGTGTTGGGCTCTGTGCTGACAGCTCAGAGTCTGGAGCCTGCTTCAGATTCTGTGTCTCCCTCTCTCTCTGCCCCTTCCCCACTAGTGCTTGCCCCCCCCCCAAGGATGAATAAACATTAAAAAATAGCAATAATAATAATAATAATATGAAGTAGTCAGTGTCCTAGCTAATCTTACCAATCATCTCTTTCTAGATAGGTCAAGTATCATTTTCTGTGCTTTTGATCTATGGTTGTATAAACAACATTTTTTTAACCTGGGAAATTCTACACATAAATGTTCTCACTGTTGTTTTTAAAACATTACATTAAAAAAAACACCAACTTTCTGTGTCAGTGCATATATACCTACCCAATTCTCTTTTCCCCTTGAACTTTAAAAAAAAATTTGTTTTAAAGTTTATTTATTTGAGAGAGACAGAGAGAGGGTGAGGAGGGGAGGGGCAGAGGGGGAGAGAGAGAGAGAGAGAGAGAGAGAGAGAGAGAGAGAGAGAGAATAGCCGTAGCTCTGCACTGTCAGCATGGAGCCCAATGTGGGGCTCGAACTCATGAAACTGTGAGACCATGCATGACCTGTGCCGAAATCAAGAGTCGGATGCTTAACCAACTGAGCCACCTATGTGTGCCTCCCCCTAAACTTTTTATTATACTTGTATAGCCCCCTACCTCAGATTTTGAAGCAAATCAACATTATATCATTTCAAATATTACTATTTCAGTATTTTGTAAAATGTCACTAATTTAATTGTCATTCTTTTTTTATTTATTAGCTTGAAAATTTCTATAAGGAGAACCTTCTTCATACCAATTATTTGGGTTCCCTGAAGTTCAGATTGTACAGAAAAGGGAGAAGGTTTGAAATTAAATGGTTCCCTAGAATCCTCAAAGTTGACCAATGAGATTTTTGTTTGCTTGTTTGGTTTTTGTTTCTGTATCTTCATGCACTCACAGATTTAAACATATTAGATGTGTTTTAATCATCACTGTTATTATCCTTATTGATGCATATGTTATTCCATTTTTGGCCAGTGGGAACTTCTTTAGGTTGATGCCTGTCTCCTCTGACACATGCTTAGTAGATTTTGGCATATTCTGGGAAAAGAAGATGATCCCACTTCATCTTACATGTTTCCTGCCTGGAGTCAGCCATTTTCCCCAGGGACCCTGCTTCCTTTGAAGGAAAATGGTTTATAGGCAGTGCCGGCGCTAGAGGTCTTTCTAGTGTCTGGGCTGGCCATTGTTTTCTACTAGCTTCATAAGTTTATAGGAACCTTCTGATTTAAATTCAGTACTATTGAGCTTTTGTTTAACCTCCAGTTCTTAAATCTGTATCATCTTTCAGCCATTTCAGAAATCTCAATACCACATATATAACCATATGATTTACTTCACAGTACACACACGCTAGGTTAAGAATATTACCAGCACTGTCACCAGCGATGTGCTTACCGAAAAGTTAGTGTTTTCTTTCTTTTTTTATAATATTTTTTGTTCTTAGTGTTTATCCCACTAGGGTTACACATACAAATTATTTGTTTTAAAGTCCCTGTCCCATTTAACCTGTTGCCTCCCTTCTGTTAAAATAATGATTTACTTTTAACATTTTATGGTTTGTCCCTTTATTTTTAAAAATACAGCATATATGGGGCACCTGGGTGGCTCAGTCGGTTAAAGCATCCAACCGGCTCAAGTCATGATCTCGCGGTTCGTGATTTCAAGCCCTGTGTCACTCTCTGTGTTGACAGCTCAGAGCCTGAGCCTGCTTCTGATTCTGTGTCTCTCTCTCCCTGCCCTTAACCCCACTCATGCTCTCTCTCTCTCTCTCTCAAAAATAAACATTAAAAAAATTTTTTTAAGACAAGCATATGTATTTATGTACTTATTTTTCTTAGGTAAATGGAAGCCTCCTGTACCCACGTGTATCCACTTTGCTTTTCTCCCCTGCACAACACTGCATCTATCTCATTCTTTTTCAGTGAGTGCAGAATTTTCCATTACACAGATAAACTGCAATACCCTTAACCAATACTGTATTGATGAGCATTTAGATGATTTCCAAGGTTTTACCTCATATTGTATAAAACATTATAGTTACTCTCATTGAGAAAAAGCAACATGGGGTTTAATGGTTATTTTTGAAAGAAGGGAACCTAACTTCGACCTCTAAAGAATGCTCAGTATCTGTGATTAGTTGCTTATGGTATAGAAGGTGGAAAATTGCACCTTATTCAACCCAGAACTTAACTGGAATCTTTTTAGTGAGGCCTTATGGCTTAAAGTAGACCAGAGGTTTAAAATAGACCAGATCATTGAATTCCAGCTGTTGCCATTCTGTGGGACAGTTTGAGCACTGAAGTCCTAGGCTGAGAATATGGCTTTTTAAAGCAACAATCCTAGTAGAATAGAAGAGGTTTGGGCCAGTTAGGGATAGCTTAGCAAGTGCATTCTTAAGAGAAGGAAGACTTGCCTTCTTGTGTCTTAGTAGAGTGAGATCTGAAAATCAAATCTATTCCTATCCTGCTAATCTCCCTTCCTCTGCTATATTCAGTAGAGGACTCTTTTACCTTACACAGTGATAGAAGAGAGCCTCTGGACCCCACAGCTGGGATTAAAACTCTACATACCTGCATATTTACAGGCCTGCAAGTTTTGGTAAACCTCTTTACTCACATGACTATTGTATACTATATTTATGGGTATGGTACTATTGTTCACTGACCTTACCTTTTAAAGAATATTATAATCCTGCTAGGATTATTATTTAATTGTTAGGACCAAAAAATGGCCAGGGAATGACAGACATTTCAATCTATAATGTCTTATTTCTGTTAATATAAAAGATGTATATCTGCTAAATTTGATTCAATTTTAAACAGCCTAGGCAAGACTCTTTCTGGTTTGTGGATCCCTTGCTCTCATATCCTGAGGTTTTTGTTAAAAATGCAGATCTCTGGGTAAACATTTAGCATCTGGTTTATGGGTATAACAACTGTCTGACATAGCGATTCTGCCCCAAACTCACCTTTCCCATTATTTAGTTTATCAACTACTGTCTCATGTAAAATAAGTGAGAAAAACTTTTAGATTCTAGAATTGTGTCTTCTATTCATAGTTTGAAAAATGAAGCATAAACATTTCTAATTTCAGATCAACAGCAAAAAGAAAGAATCAGCATGGGAAATGACAAAAAGCTTATATGATGCATGGTCAGGATGGTTAGTAGTAACACTTACAGGATTGGCATCAGGTAAAGAAAAATTTTAATGCAATCTTTTTTTGTTAACAGAAAAAATAAATAGTTCTCCTCTCCTTCCTGCAATTTTTTTTTTTCAGGTCCTGTTGGATTTTTAAAAGCATTTGTTTTGTTTCTTTCAAGAAACTTTCTTAAGTATAAGACTAGGATGCAGGAAGCTTCAGAGTCTAGTCTTGGCTCTGTCACTTTAAGTGTTTATCCAGTTTGGTTGATCTTTGTTCAGTTTCTGTATCTGTAAGATATGTGGTTTGGTCCAGATATACAATAAAGTATCTTTTAATGTTAAATCATTATAAATAGCTAATATTTATTAAGTGCTTCCTATAAGTGTCATGCACTGCCTTAAAATCTTTACACGTATGTAAACGACATGGCAGTCCTATGGAATAAGTACTGTTATTGTCACCATTTTACATAAAGCACGAGAGGTTAAGTAACTTGACGAGGGTGATGCAGCCAGTAAGTGGCCAAGCAAAGATTTAAATTTAGGCAGTTTAGCTGAAGAGCCCACATTTTAACTACCATGCTATAGAGTGCCCACAGAGTCCCTCTGTGTGAGATTTTAAGAAATAGCAGTTGAAGATCTGGAAACAAACATTAAGGACTGTTTTAATGACTTTTCAGTTTCCACCATGGAAGATTATGTCCAGAAGAACATGAGGCAAATTAAAATTTATGTGGAGAATAGAAGGAAGTACTGCTATCTCTAATTGGCATGCACAGGAATTTTGTGGCCACTGTGTTTGTGACCTGTTGATCTTTTCATACAATGAGAAGGATCTAGACTTTGACCATAAATTTGCATATTTTTGTATTTTATCAGTAACATGATCTTGCTACATTTGATTTTCTATTATTTAAGAAAAAACTGAAAATCTGTCAGGGTAATTCATTAATGCTATGAGTTTCACTACTTCTAATGGACATTAAATTTCAATGATATTGAGATCATTTGTAATTTTATTAAGTTTCAGCTTGAAACATTAAAAACTCTGACTTTAATAACCTGATTTGTGAACCTCCTGCCAGATAGCTGTCTTTTAAAGATATTTTTAGTGTGTTTTAAACACCTTTATTACAAATCACAGTGAATTTTAATGATGTAACTACTTTTAATTTCAAACAAAGAATAGCCATTTTATTTTAAAGAGTGGCTATTTACAGTTAAAAATATTAAGTTTATATAATATTTCGTATGTGACCCTTTATTTATAGGGAGTCCCCAGTTTTCTTGGACTCTTTTAACTTGATAGTTCTAAATACCTCCCAAAAATGGATTCACTTTTTTTGTTCTTTTTTTTTTTTTATTACCACCTTCAACATGTTTTTACAGGGGCATTGGCTGGATTAATAGACATTGCTGCTGACTGGATGACTGACCTAAAGGAGGGCATTTGCCTTAGTGCATTGTGGTACAACCATGAGCAGTGTTGTTGGGGATCTAATGAAACAACATTTGAAGAGAGGGATAAATGTCCACAGTGGAAAACATGGGCAGAATTAATCATAGGTCAAGCAGAAGTAAGTCTTGCTGTGTCTAAAGATGAATTAATAATTGATACAGTGAAATGAGTCTCTAATTCACTTAATTAACAGAATTATTCACAGATTCTTACAGCTGCATTAAAAGAAAAAATGTAATAGGATAGATTGGAAAATATGAGAATACATTGCAGCAAGTAAAATGTAAATCTTCAAGAAGCTTTTGTATTAGTTAACTACATAGTCACATTCAAGTCTATTCAATTATGACATTAAATGTCTTATTGTAGAAAAGTGTGATAGGATCTGTTTAATCACAGAAAGTTAATATGAAGTCAAGTTATTAAAACTGCTTAACATATCACAATTGTCAGGAAGTATGAATTATCAAAAAATTTAGTAAAATAAGCCTTGCAACTGGAGATATCTCAAAGAAATCTATAGATTATTCTTTGTGATATTATAGTATTTAAATGATTATTTTACTGTTCTTGATGTTCTATATTGAAGAACATTGTAGAAGTTAGAATGTTATATAATATATGTAGTTGTGTGGTCATATGCGGATATATTTTTAAAGTTTTGTTATAGCTGAATTTTCAAGCTATAAAAAGAGAATATATTTGCTGGTAACATGGGCAGTATGCTGTTTCTCATTTGATCCTCAGGAAAATTGCAGCAGAATGAGATCTAAGTGGGAATGCAATTTTGTCTTCACAACTGTTTCCAAAATGTGGTTTGTGGGTAGGCAGAGCTTAAAGTGTAGCAGATTTTTGACATTTAGACTTTAGGGATCAAGAAAAAGCTAGGAAAAACATTCAATAGATTAAGGCCCTTTATATATATATGAGTATGTCTTTTTGATTGTACTTAAATATTTTGTTCATATAAAGCTTTTACTAATGTGGAAGTAAACCAGGAAACTTATGAGTTTTACCCAAATTTCTTATGTGGCAAGCACTTGCATTAGGGGTACACTGTAAATTAAATTTATACTATTAAATGCTTTGCCTTTTAGGGCCCTGGTTCTTACATCATGAATTACATAATGTACATCTTCTGGGCCTTGAGTTTTGCCTTTCTTGCCGTTTCCCTGGTAAAGGTATTTGCTCCATATGCCTGTGGCTCTGGAATTCCAGAGGTAAGCCATGCAATATTTAATACCATTAATCATTAAGTGATTGTTACAGTGTTTATCTTTTGCCTTTAGGGGGAAAAAGTAGTCTTTCTGGGGAAATGGTTTGTAACATGAGGAAGAAAATTAGAAAAAGAAAATCTTAAAAATGTAAGCTGATTATAGATATCACTGAAAGAAATTCTTCCCCATAGTCATTTTATCATTAACTGTGAGGGTTGATTTTTCTTTTTCCACCACTAATTTAGCACGTGACTAAACAAATATCAGAAGACTCAGTTATAAACCTGGAAAATTATTATGTGGCCTAAAGTTCTGTGATAGATTAGTTGATGTTTTGCTGCTATGAACCTGACTTGAATACGTTAATTCTCTTTTTATGACTTTTTTTTTTTTAATTTGTTTTTAATGTTTATTTTTGAGAGAGAGAGAGAGAGAGAGAGAGAGAGAGAGAGCGAGCAGGGGAAGGGCAAAGAGAGAAGGACACACAGAATCTGAAGCAGGCTCCAGGCTCTGAGCTGTCAGCACAGGGCCCAGTGTGGGACTCGAACTCAACAAACCACAGCATCATGACCTGAGCTTAACTGACTAAGCCACCCAGGCACCCCTATTACTGTCTTTTAACTAGATAAGTTAACAATTCTTGAATTTGGTAGATAATATTTATAACCATTTTATACTTGAAAATAAACATTTGATCATAGTGGGTCAGTAGTACAAACTTTTGGATTTTTTAAGTCAACATTAATTAATTAATTAACTAATTTAAGGTTTATTTAGAGAGAGACAGAGAGCATGATTGGGGGAGGGGCAGAGAGAGGATCCCAAGCAGGCCCCATGCGGTCAGCACAGAGCCTGACATGGGGTTCAAACTAATGAACCGTGAGATCATGACCTGAGCCAAAATCAAGATTTGGATGCTCACCTGACTGTGACCCACCCAGGTGCCCCTATCAACAGTATTTAAAGAATATATTGAATAATGTGATGGGAACTCATTTCTTTCCCTTTTTAATTTTTCTGTCTTAAGTAAGTTATCAGCTTTTTCTAGCACATTTCCTTTTGAAATGTAGTCATTTTTAAAATTTTGTTAGTTAAGAATGTCTTGGGGTGCCTGGGTGGCTCAGTTGGTTGAGCGTCTACCTTTTGGTTTCAGATGTGGTCGTGGTCCCAGAGTTGTGGGATCAAACTCCACATCGGGCTCCACGCTCAGCATGGAGCCTGCTTGGGGTTCTCTCTCTCTCTCCCTCTGCCCTCTCCCCTGCTGGTGTGGGCACGATCTCTCTTTCTCTCTCTAAAAAAGAAAAGGAAGGAAGGAAGGAAGGAAGGAAGGAAGGAAGGAAGGAAGGAAGGAAGGAAGGAAGGGAAAAAAAGTCTTTAATAAGGGGTAGTATCACGCAGCATTTAGCTGTTGCCACTTAACCGTTCTTAATATACAGGAAAATACTGTATGTGATGACAGTACTATGAGAAGACATAATTCCCTATTTCTGGCAGAATGTCTGAAATGTATCTATGTTTCTACAACAGAAATACTCATATTTGCCTTTTCCTGGTTATGTAATTACAACCCTTGTATTAAGGTATGTATTTCCTTTAACATGGCCTTGTATTTTAGTTTTGTTCATGAGATACGGTTGCCTTCAATCCTTGCTTGAGAAGATTAAAATTAGAATATGATACAGATTTATTATATGTAGCATAACAGTTAAGGCTTTTGAAAAATTGTGAATTGTTCCTTGGTCCACCTAAAAATCTTTGCAAGGTGGTTTTGTGAGTAAAACAAGAGAGTAACTTAAGTTCTCCTGTTTCTTAAAGAAAATTAAACTGTCTTATTCTTTCCTTTGTAGATTAAAACTATTTTAAGTGGATTCATCATCAGAGGTTACTTGGGAAAATGGACTTTAATGATCAAAACCATCACATTAGTATTGGCTGTGGCATCAGGTTTGAGTTTAGGAAAAGAAGGTCCTCTGGTACATGTTGCCTGTTGCTGTGGAAATATTTTTTCCTACCTCTTTCCAAAGTATAGCACAAATGAAGCTAAAAAAAGGGAGGTAAGTGTCTTTTGTAGTTTATTTCACAGATAAAAATCTATGACGTAGACTTACATCAGTGAGAATTTCCTAGTATAAAGATCACATTTTTACTCTACTCTTTGGATAAATTCTGTGTTCAAATTCAAGTGTGAGAATTGTTTGCTTCTTTTTCCCTTTGTGAGTACCTCTGATGTGTTTCAGACCCCATCCCCAGTGCTGCTCAGTTACCCCTATATTTTAGAGAGGTTTTGATGGACTACCATTGGTTTCAGTTGAATTTCACAAAGGTCTTTCCATTTGTTTTTGCTTTGCCTTACACCTTTCTTCCTCTGAAGTTTTCCCCAAATGGAACATTATTTTCTCCTCTGGAGGAAGTGTCTAATGCCCTCAAGAGATGTGTGTCATCTGCAGAGAGCTATGTGGCATCGTGAAGATGTTCTGAGGGCTTTAAGGACCCCTCAAGATTTAAATCAGGGATTCACACTAGAGGGAGTATAGGAATTCCTCTTTATTGAGCTGCTCAGGAGCATTTTCCTTTACCATTTATTTTAGGCCAGCCTGAGATCTCCTAGGAAGTCTTTAAACTTTATAGAGTTTCCTAATGATTCTAGATTGCTGTGGATATTTTCTAGAAGGAAAATGGGCCCCTGAGACCTTTTGTATTGGCTCTATACTTTGGGGGCCCAATCCTTCCTGTTTTCCCAATCTAATCTGTAGGCCAAGATGGTGTGGTGCATCTTGGGGGTTTTTAAGGTATGATATTTTTATATCATTAAATAGAGAACTCAGAGGTCTGTGGCCCTAGCACAACCCTTTCATCCTGTTGTTTTTAATAATATAAGAAAAGAGTAGAATATTTTTATCAAACGATTTAATTCTTGAGTTGATACAATTCTAGGTCAGTTTAGTACTAACACATTGTTCATGCATTGGCAGCAGGTAGTCTAAAAGTGGAACACTTCAGATCATTATAGTTCCATCTCTGAATAATAATTGTGATTCCAATATTACCCTCTAACAAAAATAGCTGACATTACTGATTGCTTACTATGTATCTGCCTCTAAGTCCTTTACTTGTATTTTAAAATTTAAATCCACAATAATCCTATTAACTTGGCACTGGTATCCCCATTTATAGATAGGAAATTAGGCGTAAAGCTGCTAAACTTGCCCAAGATTGTACAGCAGAATGTCAGAGTATGGATTAAAATTTATTTTTCTGACTCAAGTCTATACTCCTTACCACTACTACTACTATGACTGTGTGGATCTGTACGTATGTTCAAAACAAAACATAACCTAAAACTGTATTATAACAAATCAGTGGCTAAAATGAAGCTATAGCATTTGTCCCTCCAGTGCAGTTCCTTTACTTGCTATTGTACCTTGATATTTTGGGGGGTAAATTTTATTTTTATTTATTCATTTTAAGTGCAAAATGTAATTTGTTAGGAAAATGTTACAGAAATTAAAATCACTTAAAATTTTAAGATACACACTGTAGTGGTTAGTAATGTACAAGACATTAACTTGGTTCACCCTTAGCATATAAATGCCTAGAGTTTGTTAGTTGTGAAAGCATTAAGGTCTCATATATTGGCTTTCTTCCTAGTTCACTTCCTTGACATTTTTAAATTAAATGATTCCTTTATACTTACAATAAAATGTGAGTTATGACTACTTGGGTGTTTTGCCAGACAGCAGCTTGACAATGGAGATCATGTTCTTAACTGTATATAATTTAATTTTGATTATTTCCAGTTTCTTTTTCAGAAATGTAAAACTTGACCATTTGTGAAAATGTTTTGATAGCCTCAGATATTTACTGGAATGAAATAGTGAAAGGAATAATTAGACTCTTAGGAAAATAATTACAACATGAAATGTTTAGTGAACTTATTTGTGTAGTTGACTTCGTACTGGTGGAAAGTGGGCAATGTCCAAGTGATAGTCTGCGGGGGCTGGAGAGAGGGTCTGTAAGAGCTTTTGTGGATATTTTTGTCTTCTTTAACTTTATTGTTAGGCTTCTAGTTGGAAAGACTGTGTCATAAAGGGTAGCCATTGTGCTTTAGATGAGGTTTTCCATATTGGCAGTTGTAGTATTGTCACAGGATTTAGAGTAGTGAAAATAAGGAAACTCGATAGGTTTTAAGTTCTCTGGATATTTTAGTAGGATTTAGAAAACAGTAGTTATCTCACATCAATGTTTTTTGACTGAATATTGAATATATGAATGACCTTTCAACTAAAACAGAAGAGAAAAAAATACCTTTTTAGAGGAAATAAATATTTGCCTCTGTTTGGGGCGGTGGGTGGACATGCAAGTTAAATTCAGAAGAGGCATTTCAAAAATTCAAGCAACATAAAGAATTTTTATTTGATATATTTTAATTTATAAGAATATACGAAATAAGCCAAATCCTCTTTTTAGGTGCTATCAGCTGCCTCAGCTGCAGGTGTTTCTGTAGCTTTTGGTGCACCAATTGGAGGAGTTCTTTTTAGCCTGGAAGAGGTAGGTAAAAAAATACAGCAATTAAAATTATGTATAATTACCATTACAAATGTATTTTGGCACACATTTCAGTTTTGTAACTAGTGTAAGAGATGCAGACTTTGTTTTAAAAACAAAGATTTAATTTCATAAAGTTATTTTTCATGTATTCTTACATAAAGAGTAATACATTACACATGTTCTTTACCTTGAGAAAAGTCTTAAAAATATTATTCTTGTATAAATATTAGTGGTCATTTAAAATTTAACTTTGTTGACATATTTAAAAGTAAGCAGAAGTGAATTTGACTTAATAGAAAATATTTAACCACTATTTGTTAAATTATAGCCCATGTTTTTATTTTAAAAATACTTAATCAATTCCTAATGTGTTTTTGTGAGTTTTTGTTGTATGATTATTTCTGTGGCAGTGATTGATATTTAAAAAGATGATTTTAGTTCTGTCACTGGTGTAGTTTGTTTTTGTTCTCTCAAGACTTTTTACATGTTTACACAAAAATGTGACTGGGAATGTTTTAAAATTTACTTTTCCCAATTTTTGCATTCTTTTTTTTTTAATATAGAAGAGGCAAATACTTCTTTTGAGCTCATAGGAATTGGTGGTGATGTATTTATTCACTCTACATGATTGAATTGGAGGTGAAACTCATTTTGAAAATAAAAAAATGCTGTGTCTGAAGTAATTATTAGACATTTTTTGACCAGTTGATATTGTGAATTTATAATGATGTGATAGCCAAAGTTATTAAACATCAATCTTTTTCTTACCACAGTAAAATCTATTATATGTAAATTCTAGCTGCAACAAAAATTAGACTATGATATTCGCCATTCAACTTATACCATATTGGAAACATCTTAAAATTCTAGCATTAATTTTTCTTTTCCTTTTTTTTTTTTTTTTTTAGGTTAGCTATTATTTTCCTCTTAAAACTTTATGGAGATCCTTTTTTGCTGCTTTAGTGGCTGCATTTGTTTTAAGATCCATCAATCCATTTGGTAATAGCCGTCTGGTCCTTTTTTATGTGGAGTATCATACACCGTGGTACCTTTTTGAACTGTTTCCTTTTATTCTCCTCGGGGTATTTGGCGGGCTTTGGGGAGCCTTCTTCATTAGGGCAAATATTGCCTGGTGTCGTCGACGCAAATCCACCAAATTTGGAAAGTATCCTGTTCTTGAAGTCATTGTTGTTGCTGCCATTACTGCGGTGATAGCCTTCCCTAATCCATATACCAGGCTCAACACCAGTGAGCTGATTAAAGAGCTTTTTACAGACTGTGGTCCTCTGGAATCCTCTTCTCTTTGTGACTACAGAAATGACATGAATGCCAGTAAAATTGTTGATGATATTCCTGATCGTCCAGCAGGCCTGGGAGTATATTCAGCTATATGGCAGTTATGCTTAGCACTCATATTTAAAATTATAATGACAGTATTCACTTTTGGTATCAAGGTAAGTACTGATGTGAGGTGCTATTTAAGTAATCTTGGCATGTTCAAAACTTTTATGTGAAATGAGCAGTGAATGTTTATCTAAAAGTGGTTATTTCATAAATGTAGGCTGAAAAAAGTTCTTATCTTTTGGGTTTCATTTTAAATAATGGAAAAAAAAAGAATTCCTTTGGATATATTGCTGAGCATGGTTATTTGTTGCTGTGTAACACATCACCCCAAAACCTGGCAATTTAAGAGAACTATTTTGCTCTTGATATTAGGTCAGTAATTTGGGAAGGACTCAACTGGGCATGTTTTGTTCGTGGCCTATCATACATGTCATCAGACATGGCTAAGGCTGGTCATCTACCACCCAAGCTAGGAAGATTCAGAACGTCTGGCTCTTGAAACATTTCTCTCTCTCTCTCTCTCTCTCTCTCTCTCTCTCTCTCTCTCTCTCTGGTTTTTCCAGCATGGTGCCTTCAGAGCATTTGGATTTCTTACATGGTAGCTCAAGATTCTAAAAGCAAGTGTCCCAAGAGGACCATTTCTTACCTAGCCAAAGAAGTCATGCACCATGCCTCTGTTGCATTCTGTTTGTCCAGACTGTCACAGAGGCCTACCTACCTCTTAATTGGAGCAGTGTTAGGGAATTTATGATCATGTTTTATTTTTTTATTGTTTAATGTGTGCTTTTTTTGTTTTGTTTTGTTTTTGTTTTTTTGAGAGAGAGACAGAGTGTGAGCATGGGGGAGGGACAGAGAGAGAGAGGGAGACACAGAATCCGACACAGGCTCTAGGCTCTGAGCTGTCAGCACGGAGCCCGACATGGGGCTTGAACCCATGAACTGTGAAATCATGACCAAGCCGAAGTCAGATGCCTAACCATTTGAGCCATTTAGGTGCTCCCATGATTGTTTTAAACTACCACAAACTTAATGGCTTAAAATTACACAAATTTATTTTAGTTTTGGAGATCAGAAGTCCAAAATGGGTCTCACTGGGCTAAAATCAAGGTGTTCACATGGATTTATGGAGTCTAGCTTTTTTTTTTTTTTTTTTTTTTTTTTTTTTTTTTTTTTTTTTTTGCCTTTTCCAGCCTTCTAGAGGCTTCCCACATTCCCTGGTTCATGGCCCCCTTCTCCCACTTCAAAGCCAGCAATGGGTGGTCAAGTCTTTTTTATCTTCATTTTTCTGACCCTATTCTAAATCTTTCTTCCATATTTAAAAAACATTTGTAATTACTTTGAGCCCAGTTAAGTAATCCAGGATAATCTCCTGTTTAAAAAAATTTTTTTAAGTTTATTTATTTATTTTGAGAGAGAGGCAGATAGTATGAGTAGGGGAGGGGCAGGGAGAATCCCAAGCAAGCTCTGCACCGTCATTGCAAAGCCCCATGTGGAGCTTGAACTCACAAAACTGTGAGGTCATGACCTGAGCCAAAACTGAGAGTCAGACACTTAACCAACTGAGCTACTCAGGCACCCATGATAATTTCCTGTTTTAAGGTCAGCTGATTAACAACCTTAATTTTACCGGCACCCTTAATTCTTCCTTACTGTATAACATAACACATTCACAGGAATTAGGATAGGGATATCTTTGGGGAGCTATTATTCCACCTATCATATTACTATAGGGTGTTAGCTTGAAAGGACACTGCAGACTCAGAGTTAAATTACTAGCCTATGGATACCATGTCTTTTTCCATCAAGGATTTAAGGGAGCTAGGCCTAATGCCCTGGGATGTTGCTTCATGTGAATTTATAAAAGAATAATATTCATTAATTAGTGATTTGCCAGTAAATATAATTCTCATATGGCTGTCAGTGCTGTATATAGGGAATCCGATGTCAGCTAATCCTTGTTCCTTAAGTTAACATTCACTAGTGATTATATGCTTTCACAGATGTAGATTATGTGGAATAACAGCTTAATTTCAACAAAATTGTAATGATGGTTTTTGAAATATGGTCTCTGTCTCTTCTGTTGTTCTCTATTTAGTCCACTGGTTATAAGAGTTAAATAATAGAAAAACCTTGAAGTTTAAAATGTTTAATCATAGTGAATCAAGTTAAAGCAGCTGTTAAAGCTCCTGTTTCTACAGTAAGTTGATTTTCTGTAAATCCCAACTTTCTCATCTTTAGTTGAGCTACAGGAAGCTGGAGACAGTTGTCAGGTCTTTGTTAAGTCTCACCTCGCTCTGTGCTCTGGCTGAAGGATCCTAATCAACAGGAGAGTGTAAAACATATTTTGATCTCTTCTATTTGGATAACCTTTTAATGATCCTAATGCAGTGTTCAACATGCCATTATTTTGTGCTCAGCTTATTTCGTTTCTGTAACATTTTAGAGCTATTAGTATTTTAATCCTTAAATGATCTCGCTTAAGGTATCTACTATTCCTATTTTTTTCATTATATTTAATTGATACATACTCTTCTCCATATGTGTGTGTGTGTGTGTGTGTGTGTGTGTGTGTGTGTGTATTGTTAAACAAATATTGAAGGACCTGATAAGCTTGTCCTCTTTACATTGTACTACTTGAGGAATAGCATGTAATATTTTTTTCATTTGGTAAACAACAAATATGTAGGGAGGATATAATCATGGAGTAAAGGACAGTACTTCACACTAAATTGATTCAGTTTAATGAAAAATGCTTCATATTGTCCTTTTTTTCCTTTCCCCGTTTCACCATGAATTAATGAAAATCGTGTTAGGGACTGGCATTAAGGAACCCTTGAGCTAAAGGATGAATAACCCTTAGGTTGGTTTAGAGAATGTTATTTGTTACTTTGTAACTGAAATCACAGAATTACTAAGGTATCATTAGAACAGTATTTTGCTGTAGTTTTATTTGTACTAGGATTTTGCTATATAAATAAAACGTGTAAAGAATCTAAAGTGTTAGTTAGAAATCCATAATTTAGGTTCCGAGCATATAAGTAGAGGATCTCTGTCCCCTTAAGCATTGTGGTTTTGTTACAGGTTCCGTCCGGCTTGTTCATTCCCAGCATGGCCATTGGTGCGATTGCCGGAAGGATTGTGGGGATTGCGGTGGAACAGCTTGCGTATTTTCACCATGACTGGTTTATCTTTAAGGAATGGTGTGAGGTTGGAGCTGATTGCATTACACCTGGCCTTTATGCCATGGTTGGTGCTGCTGCGTGCTTAGGTAATGTAACTGTGTCTGTGTATGGATGTTTGTGAATCTGAGAGAGAAGAGAGCGAGTGTGGGAGCACATTTATGCTTAATTGGTGAGGGGGGTGAGGGCGGTACAGGATGGAGGAAGAGAATGTTTTAACAGAAATGAAACCACTATTATATAGTATTTATGTAGTAATAGTTTTCATTTTGCCTGCTCTAAATATTTGTTAATACAAAAATTTAATGGTAGTTACCATCTTTTAAACATCATGTAATGCTTTGTGACAGAAAACATCTCAGTACAAATTAGGCTTAGTTTGAATCCTGTCAGGGAGATTTTTGGTTTTTTCATTGTCAGGGATCTTGGCTTACCTATAACAACTATAGCATGGTTCCTGAGATTAACATTTTAGCAAAGCTGAAGATTTGGTGCTGCAGTGATTTATAATTAGCTGAAAAGAAAGAGTTCTTTACCAGCCCTCTTTGATTTAAGGTGCATTTATAGGAAAATTAAAAAAGATAACTACTGTTTTAACGAAAAGCAAAACAAAGTAACTGCATTACTTACGAGTCTGTTGTCCTCTTGGATATGAAAAATTGATACTTTAAAATTTAAATGTCGAATTTTGGTTATGATATTAAATAGTTGGTATTTTGACTTACTTTTGTTCAATGAATCACAAATCTATAATTATTGATCTCCAAAAGAATGCTATCAAGTTAAAGTGAAGGACAGGACATTTTCACCACAGTAGCGGTGATTTAGTAGTTGTCCACTTTCTGTAAAGTGCTGTGCTAGGTGCAGTGAGTGATACAAAAAGAAGTGTAAAACATGGGCCCACACTTCAACGACAGTCAGATTGGGAAGGGAAGATAAGACCAAAACTGAGAAACAGTAGTAGGAAATATATAATAATTATATATAGTACTGAGTCTATGACAGTGTAGGAAACTAGAGGAAAAGAGAGCTGAAGTCGTTCAGGTAGAACAGGAGCTTTATTTCAGAAAACTAGTAGGATTTAAAGAAGAGGATTTTGTTGAGGAATAGAATCGTGTGAAATTGAAGGAATTGGAATAAATTTGAGGATACTGATACTATTGAAGCAGAGAGTGCATTTTGGATACTTTTGGGAAATGAAGTTGCATTAGTGAGAAAGAGCCAGGTAATGAAAAGGCAATCATCTGTGTCAGGATGAATTTGTGTTTGGAATAGGTCGTATCTGTGGCAGAATCGTGGCTTTGGCAGTTGTAACTTGACAACTTTGGGAATGTTCCTTTACTTTGATTTTTTATTTTCTTATCTTTAAAATAGAAATAATAACCACTAATCTCCTACAGTTGTTTTGAGCAGTATATGAGATAAAATGCATGTAAAGCTGTTAGCACAGTGCCAGGTAAAATAAGTTACTTGAGTTCAAAACAAAATTCTCTGTGAACTGATTAGGACATGCCTGGCATAGTGTAGATGTGTAATATGTAGTAGGTTCTTTCTCCCTTCTATTTTTAGGTTAAAAAGCAAAAAGGAAGAGTTTAAGCTTAATTATACAGTATGAACTGGCGAATCCTGGTAGGTTTTTGAGCAAAGGAGCAACATGATGAAAGTAGTACTTAGGAAAGATTAACCTGGGAACATGGCTTATAAAGTGGATTAAAGGTAATGGGGCTTGGAGTCAAGGAGGTAAGATAAAATAGTATTAAAATTAAGGAACAAAGTCTTGAGAGTCTGGCCTAGTTTGGTTAAAGTGACAATAGTGAGAAGGGACCAATAGATGGATATTTTGCAAAGCAAATCAGATAAGACTAGGTGAGAGTCTAGGTATTGGATTCAAGTAAAGGATGAACCCGGAATAACTATCTAGGTTGTCAGGAAGAACATGGTGCTGTGCTGGCTGGAATGGGTAGCTCTTTGGGGAAGAAGAGGACTTTGGTTTTAAATGTGTGGTATTTTTTGTGGCAGTGGGTCGTCCAAAGTCTTTTTACAGTTGGAAAACAAGACAAGCACAGCAATAAGGTATGCATAGTTGGAGACATGGAACAATGGCAACAGGAAGTAGAAAGATGTGGATTAGGAAGCATGAGCATAGAGGTGATAGTTCAAAATGATGATTTGGGGGGCACCTGGGTGGCTCAGTCGGTTAAGCATCCAACTTTGGCTCAGGTCATGATTGTGCAGTTTGTGAGTTTGAGCCCTTTGTCGGGCTCTGTGCTAACAACTCAGCACCTGGAGCCTGCTTCAGATTCTGTGTCTCCCTCTCTCTCTGCTCCTCCCTTGCTTACTCTGTCTGTCAAAAATAAACATCAAAAAAAAAAAAAAAAAAAAAAGAATGATGATTTGGGTAAATGAATAGATGAGTTTCTAAGGGAGAGGATATTACACTGTTAACATAAATCACAAGGCACCAAAATATTTTACTCATTTTGAAAAGATTTAGAGGAGAGAAATGTATTAATATTCTACCCACATAGGAGCTTTATTTGTAATGTGGTAGTAAGCAAGATAGCTATGATGTGCTTCACCAAATTCTTTAATTAATAATCAGCTTTTATAAGAGTGGAATTATATCTTTGCTATAGCAATAAACCAAAATGGCAAATTCGTTTCAGTTGGCTGTTTACTGTGAAGTAAACAGGTTTGGAAATGTTATTTTAATAGTCTTGTGTTTAACAAAGAAAATTGGTGTTTCTCTAGATCTTATTAAAACAGTGATAATTGTCCTAAAAGAGGAGTAGTAGTTTTCGATGATTATCCTTTTCACTAAGTTCTTTTTACAATTTGTGTTCAACTGCCTAGTAGAACAGTTCCACTGACCTGTCCTGTCCTCCTTGACCAGTGGTATTCATTTTTTTTCAGGTGGCGTGACAAGGATGACTGTCTCCCTGGTGGTTATTGTTTTTGAGCTCACTGGAGGCTTGGAATATATTGTTCCCCTTATGGCTGCAGTAATGACCAGTAAATGGGTTGGTGATGCTTTTGGTAGGGAAGGCATTTATGAAGCACACATCCGGTTAAATGGATACCCTTTCTTGGACGCAAAAGAAGAATTCACTCATACCACCCTGGCTGCTGACGTCATGAGACCTCGAAGGAACGATCCTCCCTTAGCTGTCCTGACACAGGACAATATGACAGTGGATGATATAGAAAACATGATTAATGAAACCAGCTACAATGGCTTTCCTGTCATAATGTCAAAAGAATCTCAACGATTAGTGGGATTTGCCCTCAGAAGAGACCTGACAATTGCAATAGGTACCCTTTTTTAAGAATACAGACACACATATACATCTGTCTGTATCTATATCGTGTATCTGTGGAATCTATATATCTAGATAGATAAAGGCATATAATGGATTTCTGGAGGAAAGGAAAACAATAATATTTAATTGGTTGGGTGTGTTGGAGTAAAGAGTATATTTTATTTATGTCCCTGAAAGTCTTATGCTCTTTAGGGATTTGTGAATTGTTTTCTCACTAAATACAGTTTTATCTTTTGATTTGGCATTGTTATCAGAGATTGGAGTCAGATTCTTTTCCCACTCAGATAAGCCTTGTTTATATTGTTTGTAGTAGCATGTAATATATGGCCTAGCAAGTGCCAGGGCATCCCAGTAAATACATTCTTATATTAACTTAATATTGGCTTATTTGAATGCAAACTTTGAAAAATTTCATCTTTGGTCTGTTTCATATCAGATTCACAATATTTTCCTTTTTCAGTTTTTGGATTTAAGTTTACAATAGTAACATGTAATAGCAACTTTGTTATTTTTTTAGTCTTTAAAAAAAATTTTTTTTAAACGTATTTACTTTGAGAGAGAGAAAGAGAGAGCGACAGGGGAAAGGGCAGAGAGAGGGAGAGAGAATCCCAAGCAGGCTTCTCGTTGCCAGCACAGAACCCAATGCGGGGCTTGAACTGATGAACCATGAGATCATGACTTGAGCTGGAACCAAGCGTCTGATGCTTAACCAACTGAGCCACGCAGGCTCCCCTATTTGTTTATTTTATTTTATTTTTTTAAAATTTTTTTTAACGTTTATTTTTGAGACAGAGAGAGACAGATCATGAATGGGGGAGGGTCAGAGAGAGGGAGACACAGAATCCGAAGCAGGCTCCAGGCTCTGAGCTGTCAGCAGAGCCCGATGCGGGACTTGAACTCAGGGACCGTGAGATCATGACCTGAGCTGAAGTTGGGCGCTTAACCGACTGAGCCACCCAGGTGCCCCTGTTTTTTTATTTTAAATATTTATTTTTGAGAGAGAGAGAGCAAGAGTGAGGGGGGTAGGGGCAGAGAGATTGGGGGACAGAGGATCCAAAGCAGGCTCTGCACTGACAGCAGCAAGCCCAGTATGGGGCTTGAACTTAGGGACTGCGAGATCATGACCTGAGCCGAAGTCAGACCCTCAACCTACTGAGCCACCCAGGCGCCTCTGTAATACCTACTTTAAAGTGAAAAATCATTGAGATTTTATTTTTGGTGAAATACTGTGTTGAAAAGTATATAAGTTCTATTGTATTATGTGCTGATATTCCTACAAATAATGTTTAAAGCATTAGCCATAGTATGCTATTTCTTGGGGATAAAGTAAACTGTTTTGGTTTATTTTGTTTTTACTTATTTTTTAAATTTTATTTAAATCCCAATTAGTTAACATATAGTGTAGTAATGGTTTCAGTAGAATGTAGTGATTCATCACGTATGTATAACACCCAGTGTTCATCCCAACAAATGTCTTCCTTAATGCCCATCACCCACTTAGCCCATCCCCCCACCTACCTCCCCTCCAACAACCCTGTTTGTTTTCTGTATTCAAGAGTCTCTTATGGTTTGCCTCCCTCTCTCTTTTTGTCTTATTTTTTCTTCTCTTTCCCTATGTTCATCTGTTTTGTTTCTTAAATTCCACATATGGAGATAAAGTAAACTTTTTATGAGGAGTAAACAATTGTTTGTGTTCCTCCAAAATTTATTTTTCTCCTTATCTTATAGTCCTGCAGTATTGATGAGGAGGCTAGGCTAGTAACACCATTTCTATTCAGTCCGATTCCTTTCCCTCTCTTCTCCCAACCCCCAAAAGTGATAAATGATATTTTCATGAAGCTGTTGCTTTCATACTCCCCAGTTTTTAGTAAAGGACCCTAAGCTGCAAATGTCATGCCTTTGTTCCTTTGAGTCTCTACAGCTTATCTCTTGGCCACTGCAAAAGGATTGTGAAAGATTTTAATTCTTGTGCCATTTGAAGAGGGAAGATATCTAGTCTAGGATTATTTCTTAAATCAGAATGGAAATGCAAATGCTCAGTTTATAAGAGTTATCAAAACAAAGGAGCCTACAGAAAATATCCTTACAGTTAAGGAAAAGCCTACAGCTTTGTAGGAGTTTTTTAAAGACTAGCAATCTCATCATTCCAAGTTTTGCTGTAGGCAATAGAATATTTGCCAGAATGGGCGAAGTATGTGGTCACACTTGGCTCTTGTATTTAAGTGTTTCAGCTTCTAATCTAGTACCATGGCCAAACCTACAATCACAGAAGAATTTCATTGTTCAGATTCCTATTCTTTAGGTTTTAATGGTAGCCAGCCAAAGAAAAGAAAAAGGTCAGAATTCTGGAATTTATATAGAAATTTAAAGGAAAAAAGCAAGGTTTTTAAAAGATAAAGTGGTCAAAGTTAAGAATTACTCATATTCCCACTGATTCTGTGGATATGTTTTTCAAAGTATTGTTACTGTCTTGAAACAGAATATTGTGATAGTAGATAATGTCAGTTTAGGGAATAGATGTATTTTAGGCATGCAATCAGAAACGTTTCACATGATGACTTTTAGAACATACCTTACATGTTTACCCATGTACATTTTCATAGAGTTTACAGTTTTGAATGAGAAAAATAGGCCTGTCCTTGAGGCTTTGTATATATGTATAATACATAAAATATGGGGTGCCTGGGTGGCTCAGTCAGTTGAGTGTCCGACTTTGGCTCAGGTCATGATCTCACAGTTCATGAGTTCAGGCTCCACATCGGGCTTTGTGCTGATAGCTCAGAGCCTGGAGCCTGCTTCAGATTCTGTGTCTCCCAATCTCTC